CTCACTTACAAATTTTCCTTTTCTTCTATAGAAACCTCACCTCCCTGGCCTAGAATCACCTTTTCTCAACTGCTAACCATGCATTTAATATTCTATAGGTACACCTACAGGAAAAAGTTTCCTCTTTAAAACTCCTCAACAGCATGTCTTCCCATTAACACTTATGTTTACTCCCAGCAGAAATTCTAATCATCTAAAGAGTTACAGGTTGTCATCCTCTGGACCACGGACATTCTGTCCAGCTGCAGGTCTGCACCCCATCCTCCAGCCCACACGGATGTGCTGTCCAGCTCAGCCCTGCACCCCACCTTCCAGCCCACGAGACAGAAACTGCTGCTACACATGTGCCACAAAGCCTGAAACAGCCTGTGCTTCCTGGGTTTCCACTGCATTCCAGCCCTCAAGACTCCCAGCTTCACCCCCATATCTGCAGAAAATAACCGCGAGACTTCTACAGCCCCTTTGCCACCCCTTTTTCTGAACTGAACCCACCAGCCCAGGGACTGAACTGCCCTTAAACAATGTTCTATTACTAATTGTATAAATTCTGCCCATGATCCTGAAATGTATGTACTACCAGATATCGATTCCCCCGGGGTCCAAGGGGGCTTTGCTAGATCCAGTGTGGGATATTAGGGGGGAAAATCTACGTACACTATGTTCTTAATGTCTGTTAACTTTATTCCTCTAAGACAAAATTCTATCAATTCAGCTATAGTTCCACCAGGCATTCAAGGCAGGAATAACTCTAGACATAACAAGCTCTATATATCCATCTACTTTATTTCTCTGGGATGAAATCCCGTCTCCATAACTGTAGTTCCGTCCAGCTCCCCAGCTCATAGTCCAGCTAACGACTAACTCCTATGCTTTCAGCCTCATTTTCGTCCTCTGTATCCTCTTTCTCCACCTCTGCTGCTCTCTACTCCTGGCCCTCAGAAAACTCTACTTGAGATCTGCTTACCCTCTATGGAACCTCTGTGGTCCTCTCTTCTCTCTCACCATGCATTTCTGACCTTGTCTACAGAAAATACCTGCCTTTTCTTTCCCTGGGCAAGTGGTTCCCAGCCTCCTCAGGACTGCTGTTTTATCTCTCACCTTGATATGTAAAACCTCTTTTGTTCTCAGTCAAAATGCTCTGGAGAACCACTAGGCCTCCTCTAAGGAGGGGAAGGTCTGAGCTTCATTAGCACAGGAAACAAAGCCAGGCTTCTCCCACCAGCAGGTCTCCTAAGCTCAGCAGGGCAGTTAGTAACTTAGCAGTTCAGCAGGTCTGGGGAGCTGAACTGTTTACCAGTTGGTCTGGGCACTCAAGGATTTTATAGCAGAAGACAGCTGGAATATTAAAGGCTGGGTAACACCAAATATTCAGAATAAATGGCTTTGCCTTTTGACAGACCCTTGGCTGGTCAAAGTTCA